AGTGTGAGGACCAAGTTTGGATCCCTAGCTCCAGTAAGAAATACAGGTAGATATGGTAGTTACCTGTAATCCCAACACTAATGAAGCTGAGACAGGATCCCCAGGCCCCAGGGCAAACTGGCCAGTTAGTGTAGATAAATCTAAGCTCCAGGTACAGTGAGACATCCTACCTCAGGTAATAAAATGAAAGCAATATAAGAAGATACCTAAGGTCAACCTCTGGCCTGCACACATGTGCACCCATGTACCTACACACATGTGAACAAATATATACACACACATGCCAGAGTTTTAAAAAATTCTAGATACTATAACCAGTTAACTTACTGAAGCATGAATAAAGACACCAATAAGTGAAAAAGTTGTTAAATTGAACACTTGCCTTCTTCAGCCATCAAGGAGTAAATATAGGCTGAGCATATGCCAGTGGGAAGACAGCAGCTATTTCCCACTGTGAGCTTCTAGATACATGTGATAGAAACACACACACACACACACACGCAGAGAGAGAGAGAGAGAGAGAGAGAGAGAGAGAGAGAGAGAGAGAGAGAGAATGAGAGAGAGAGGCTGGCCAAGGAAGCTTCTGGGCTTCGATTTAAATACATATAATACTGATATACATTAAATTAAATGTAACCAATTATGGGAAAACCACATACTACATATGAAGTGCTAAGTGTCCAATGCTAAGAATGACCATAAAAATGAGTCAAAAAGAGTGAGTGTCACAAGACCAAGCATAAAACCTGACCACTGAGTAGGAAATTTTTTGCATTAGTCAGCGAACTAATTCTTTATACTAGGCCTTCTGCAAAGTATCCCCATACTTTTATTCCAGGCATTTAAGGTGAAGAAAAGATCAGGGTCTATGGCAGAACCAGACACAACAGTATTTCTCTCCATTTCTCCCTCCTTTCAGGCTATCCCCAAACACCTACCACCTACATACCTATGCACTTGAGCTCATTGACCACAGGCCAGGATGGTTAGCAGGCAAGATGTCACAGTAACCTCATTGCAGATGTGAGCAATAGGCTTACATCCAGAAGTCCTATTGACAATACATGGAAATCCACTTTTCCTATTTGATAAAATTCCTTAAAGAATCTTTACAATGTAGAGCTTGTTAATATTCACACGAAACAATATGAACAATCAGTGTAGTCAAAGATATTTTCTGAATGTTGTTCCTAAAATAAGTCTGTTGCTTTTCCAGTTATTAACCAGCCTATATTAATGTTGTATAACAGAGGATCTATTTTCCTTGTTTATTAGGACTTTCATGTAACCATTTTGTTAAAGGCTTTCCACTGATGGGGATTAATGGGGTGGCAAATTATTGCAAGAGTGTATTACTGCTTTAATTTTGCTTTAAACAAAGCAATATTTGTTGCATACTTTATCTTGGGTCTCAAAGTCATTTCAAATTTGAGGCCAGCTTCCAGTTTTGTTTTCAATTTCTTGGTCTTTATTATTTTAATTTAGTTTTTACATCATTAAAGGCATCTTCATTGTTGCTTTTGCTTTTCAATTGTTGAGGATTTTCCCAATAATTCTGTTAAGTAAGCTGTGGTATACATCCTGTTGTAGGTTTAATCACCAAGTCTTTTACCCTTTGTTTATCCACCTTTCAAATTAATTCCCATTGTGAGAAACTAAAACATGATTTACTTTTAAAATCTTCAGTACGTTATAGAAATACATGGATTTTTATTCTTCAATTCCATACATATATGCAATGAAATATGATCACATACTCTCCCTACTTTCCTGTCCAGCTCTACTCTTATCTCCTTAGCAATTTCTACCCCTAACTTCATATCATATTTTTTGTAGCCCACCAATTCCAGTTAGTGCTGCCAATATGTAAATGGGCATGAGAATTCACTGAAGGCTGGGGAAGTCATCTAGAAATAGCACTAACCTGAAAGAAATACAGGTCTTAGGCTACTGTGATAGTTTATTTTTCTTGTGAATGTGACTGGGTGATGAAATTTTTATAGTACTATGGAGTTACGTTTTTAGATGGTATTGTAACAGTATTTCTAGAAAGAATTAATTGAGGTGGAAATATCTGTTGTGGAAGGGGTCACGATCTCATGAATTGGGGTTCCAGACTTAGCAAGAAAGGAGAAGAGAGATAGACAGTGGGGCATAGGAATTCTCCTTTCTCTCCTCTCAGAGCACTGAGAATTGGCTGAGCTGCTACTCCTGACACCTTTGGGCCACCCACTGCCACAGCCACTGCCGTTCTAAATTGTGAGAAAAAAACCAATGTCTCCACCTAAGATGCTTCTTGTTGGCTATTTCATCACAATGAAAATGAATTTATTCAATAACTGTTAAAGCCACAATGCTGATTACAATGAAAATCTCTGTTCATAAGTTAAAAATAAATTATTTAATTCTCATAGTAAAAATCATAAAATATAAAACTATGATTTAAGAACTTTTCTTGCTCCCCGTTTTGTGCCTCTGCATAGTTGACTCCAAGATAAGAACACATCTGGTTTCTGAATAGCAGATAATGCCTTTAGACTACATTATTATAAATAGTTATTGGTTTCTTTTCCCCCCTCACTTATTATGGCACAACATACTGATTATAATTCTATGAAGGCTCTAAAGTCAATCATGTCTACTGATGAAAGATTAAGAAGAATAGAATAAATCAGCAGGTCATGTTTGAAGTGAAAAGTAGGATTTCTTTCTTTTTTTTAAAGGAATGGTCCATTGGTGGAATGTAAGCCTCAAACTAGAATGGTGTGTGCTTCAAAATCTTTGGGAAAATTAGTTTGAGAATATCTGTGAAAATACATGATGTATTTCAATTTGACTCAACACTACAGTTATGTAAATATTAAAAAATAAAATATTTTAGTAACAAAATTATAATATAAAACTTTTGCTACTCAGTTTATACACATCCTTAGAGACACAGCTAAGATAACTTGTAATAGAGAGCATCAACATGGGGTTATCTTACGTAGCTTCATGAAGGAGCTATGGATCTTAGATTTGTTTGTACAAAATTGATAAGTAGAGAAATAATTTATGTTACCTGTAAATCATAAGAAACCTTTCCTACAAGTATCACCACATCATGTTTATATTTACAGCTCCTTAACCACACATTTACAAGAGGAAATTTGATTGCTTGAAAATTATAGCTTAAGCTGTCCATAGTCATTAAAATACATTTACAGATCTTCCATCTCCTAGCCACAGCCACAGCCTCATGTTCAGTCATGGCAGGATGATTGCAGATTGCCATCTAGATAATCTAGAATGGCAAAATTTTCTAGAAACACTCTGGCAAAGGGAGAGCTTACAAATAGCCTGTAAATTTCACTTCACAAATTCCATGCAATAGTGATCAGGCTAAACCCTACAAAGTTAATAATAAGCTTATATCATAGGGTGAATAGTCACCTAGAGACCATGATAGCAAACACTTCAAATCAGTGATGCACTTACAGAAGCAGAGGCAGATAGCAAGAGTACGCAAGAAAAAAGTTTCCTATATCTGTCAGGCTTTCTGTTAGGGCCCCATAGTGTCTTTCATAAGGACAGTCATCAGAATACTCTAAAGTGCTATCTAGCAGGCACATGCAGTTCTCATGGGGAAAGAGTACTCTGAAAGTTGGTGATTATCTTTGTAAGTAACGACCACCAAAAAAGGTTAAACCAGAGCTCACCAGAGACTGAGAATAGCATTTAGGAACCTTAAGGTTCAGAGAGAACCCAATGACCACACTACAGGTAATGTAAAGCTGACATGACGGCCTTACCTGTGATGCAGATCCTATCCACTGATCGAGGACCTTGTATAGAGGACACATAGTAAAATGTGTGACCATCACTACCTACAGTGCACCAGGATATAGGTGAGGCATGATTCTGATTAAAGGCCTTAGACTGAAAATCTGTGCTTCCCTAACTTGATTACATGCTGTGTTTATCTTCAATATGTACTGAATACATTCTCTCAGAACTTCAGAGAGGACGGTACTCACAAGCTCCTGATACAGATTTTGATACTCCTGGTAAATGGAGAAAAGTGCCTCATTGACTACCATTTCATTTTTTGGGAACTACAAATGGTCACTATTTTTGTAAAGCTAATATTTGATTAATTTCTGTGATAATCTGTTAAGGAATAAAATAACTATGATCTATTTATAGCATTGTATCTTTCTCCATTAATTGCCTATTGGCAATACAATTAAAAATAAATTTTGACATATTCACTGCCATAATCGTTGTTACACTCAACTTTCCCCAGTGCCTTCATAAGAATAATTCATTTTCTGAAGCAAAACGTGCACTTCTTTTGTTACAGAGCAGTGGCTCTTGTAAACTTGATCCTGGGAACACTGTGTGCATGCTTTATTTGCTGAGATAATATCATTCCCTTCTAAAATCTTCCTCTTGTTGCCTTCTCACTAAGCTATCATTTATCTAGAGTGTTCTGAAATTTAGGGTTTCAATAGAAATAATGAGGGATGGAGACTCAACGGGGAGAGAAAATGAATCACAGAAGAGAAACAAGTTCAAACTGTAAATTGATTTGTTATTGGGCAGACTTTCTGAATGATTGCCAAAATGTTTTGCTTTAATCCAGCATTTACTGGTCTACTTGCATGTACCCAATAATATCTTATCTAGATTCTTATGCTAAGAAATTAAGACAAATTGTTTCATTGCCTTTTTATCATCGTTTCTCCAGTGTTGAATAGGTTCTCATCTAGACAAATGGGATTCAATGGCAGGTGAAAATGGCTGGGGGTCAGACCTCTGTAAATAATTGGAGTGACTCACAAATCTTATGAAGATGTGTTTAAGATAATGGACAAGTTTGAATCAAGAGATACTTTTGTCTGACACCATGTTACTACTGTGGGAGGGCACAGTTTTCAAAACAGCGATATACTCATGTTTGTATTACATGCACACAGAAAGAACCAGTTGCAGATATATAAGGAGAGGGAAGAACGTACCGTGAACTCTTCAAAGATTTTCATGAGTTCTTTATGACCATGCTGCTCAGCAATATGCATCAGGTCTGAACCATCCATATTTCTCATACTGGCTGCCCAGGGTGCCCCTGAGCACTGTAGCAGATGAAGAGCCAGGTTCTTTAAGCCGAACTTCGCTGCACAGTGCAGGAGTGTTGGGAGCTCTCTGGTGTGAGTATCTGGAGACACACAAAATACCAATATTGAATATTTTTTATCTGCACTGAGACTGGGGGACAAAAATTAAAATTAATAAAAGCTTAAAAACGTGGGCCCTAAATCTATACAGAGAAAGGGAACTTCTAATGGTAAAGGAAAATTTAACTCCTTAAATCAGGAGTGCATGTCTGGCACCTGAGCTCCTGTTCTCAGAGAAGGGAAAGTAACTGTCCACCACTCATGTTAACATTCCTTTGCTAATTGCTGGTCATAAAGGTCCCCTGCCAGTTATCAAGACTCCCTGGCCCAGGGGATAACTGACAGACCCTATGATCCTGCAAGCCCATGCCCTATCTTATCTCACTCAAATGTATCTTGCTTAAAATATATAGTTACTACTTGACTCTGTACTTTGTATGACCTTAAGTAACCATGGAAACCCTGAAATTCGTGGCCTTCAACCTTATGGTTTTAAAGGTTTGCCCCTTTAAAAGCTTCTCTTTTGGCTGGTTGGGATCTCATTTCCTCCACTCCATAGGGATCCAAGCTGGCCAGCCTGAACAATAAAAGAAACCTTTTGTTTTTGCATCACAGTGTCGACTCCTTGGGTTAGTCTCTGGGCTCTGTGAACATGGCACAACAAAATGAAATAGTCAGAGATAATCTGTTCTGGTAAATCATACTCAGAAAAACTGAGCACAACTTCAGTAAATGCTCTCCATTGCAGTAGCAATGGAGAGCATCCTTCCTATTTTCTTAAAATAAACACAAATGACTATTATCACTACACTTATACACCAATCTTAATTGTAGAGCAGACTTGAAATGACTACAAGAATTTCACCTTTCAGAATTTGAAAAATGTTCTTGGCCCTTCTTGTATAATATGCAATGGGTCAAAGTTTGGCAGACATTTTATAAGGTGAGAATTTTATGGGCAAACACTGACAGTATATAAGGTCTGTGCTAACTTCAGGTAAAAATAATGCATTCTACTGAAAACATGTAATATATTAATTCTTATTTATTTGCAATGACTTGCATTATAGTCAATTTTCTACAGTGATTAAAACATGTCAAAGTTAATCAATTCAGAGATAAACCTGGTAATTTCAAATTCTCATGTGCCTTGATTGCCTCATGCTTTGCTACATTAGAAAATATAATACTAACTGTACCATCTCTTTCTAACTCATGCCCTATCAGGGTTCCTGCATCCTGTCAGTCTGGCGAGCTAAGTCCTTATTAATTCAGTTTCAGTACTTTATTAAATAAGCATTTGTTAATTATAGGGTTGTATTCATCCTTTAACATCAACAATTTATCTTGGTATCCTCAAGTTACTACACAATGTCAAAAACAATAAATAACTTCCTTAGGAATCTATTTCTATACAGCAAAAGGAGTGGTCAGCACTGTAGTGGCTCCTCTCTGGATCTTGAACATGTATCCAATGTCAATGAATTCAAGCTAATTAGGTGATGTGCCCATGACTCTACTAAATTATGATTATGGGCCGTTCTTTGATTATTGTTGTCCTGCTTGGTTTTATGTCAACTTGACACAAGCTAGAGTCATTAGAGGAGAGGGAGCCTCAATTCAGAAAATGTATCTGTAAGATCAGTTTGTAGGCAAGTCTCTGGGATGAGTCTCTGTATTGTTTAGATCCATACAATTTGCTATGTAGGAAATGGGAGACACATAATAATACTTTCTAGGCAGTAGTTTAATAGGCAGTGAGATAAGACAAATTTACCATAGAAACCGAGGAGGCAATAAATGGTTTGCCTATGGTAGTATATAACAAAATAGGAAATAATACATGTAAATAGTTGCTGATGTTATGCTCAAAAACAGCTTTTGCTAGTGGTTATCTTGGGTGGGAAGAGGCAGAAATGGGGAGACAGAATGCAAAATTTCAGATGGATAAAAATGGAACCTAATATACAATCTGAGAACTACAGTGAATGCTGTATCAAGAATTTTTGTTAGCGCGGTGGTGGTGGAGCATGTCTTTAATCCCAGCACTTGAGAGGCAGAGGCAGGCAGATCTCTATAAGTTCAAGGCCAGCATGGCCTGCAGAGCAAGTTCCAGACCAGCCAAGCTACACGGAGAAACCTTGTCTTAGAAAAAAGGGAGGAATTTTTGATAATATTTTAGATGCTCCTGCCATTAACAAAATGGCAACCAGGGACATTTCCTTAATTACTGATTGATGCAGGAAGACTAATACCATTGTGGGTGGGGCTATCTCTGGATTCTATAAGAAAACAGGCTGAGCCAGCCTTTATGAGCAAGCCGGTAATCAGTGCTTCCATGGCTTCTGTATCAGCTTCTGCCTCCTGGTTCCTGACCTATGTGAATTCCTGTCCTGACTTTCTTCAGTGATGAACCGTGATATGCAAGAGTTAGCCAAATAAAGCCTGTCTTCACCAAGTTGCTTTGGTCATGGTGTTTCATTACAGAAATAGAAACCCTAACTAAGACAGTCATCTTCAGGATTTAACCTAGTTCATATGATCACTAAAATTTTTGCTTATGTATCTATTGTCATTACATTTTTCTACAAAGTATCATTTGTATTTAAAACTGAAGTAATCATGTTCAATGAATTCTACAACTGTGCAGTCCTGTTACCACACCCTAAAGCACATGGGAGCTTTAGTGTCATGGACCTATGTGCCAGTCCAGCTATTCCCTAATATAAGAGTCTGATACATCCCAATATTGATAAAACAAAGTATTTTGTTTCTCTTGTGAGGGAAGTTATACTCTCTGCATCTTATGCAACACTGTCTTCTGTCTGTCTCTGTCCTTTAATTTTCCTGTGAAGGATATATTTGCCCAACATTCATTAATTTCCTATCTTCAGGTACGACTCTTAAAAATTGCTTTTAGTGTTTCTATATATTATGTGCTTGTTAATTGATTTTCCCTCCTGGGCTTTGCAAGCCCTGCTCAATCTGTAATTTCCTTCCCTTCATCAGTTTAGGATCATTTTTGGCTTCAAATATTCTTCCTGCCTCATTCGTTCTCACCTTCACACAAATTCTAGATTAGCTTAATAAGATCAGCTAAAACTTGAAGCAGAATTAAGGCGAATAAATGCCTAGAAGAGCTGGGCTTAGGCTTTATACAGCTTTTTGTATATACTGAGATTTTGTTTTGTTCTTCAGTTGAAATAATATATTTTGACCTGTTTTTTAAATCTTTGAATTGATTTCGTACTCTGTTGTTTCTGTTACTCATCCTATCTAATTTTATTTATCTATCTGTCTGTCTGTCTGTCTGTCTGTCTACCTATAAACTATCAATCCATTCAGATAGGTTCTTACTATGTGGTCCTGGCTAAATTAGAACTCACCACAAACAGGTTGTCAAACTCATGGTGATCCCCCTGGCTTTGTTTCTTGAGTGCTTTGATTAAGGGCATGTGGTCCCATGCCTGACAGTTAACCTAACTTTAAACAACATTCTTTGATTTTTTTCTTTACTATAACATGCATTTCACTGATGAAATGTCCACTTTTCATGTCTGCTGGTCAACCCCTTTCAGTAGGTTCTGTAGAATGATCACTGTAGTTATTTAAATACTCATAACTGACAAGTTTAGCATTAGTAGCATTTCCATGTCTGTTTCTTTGGGTGGCTCCTTCCTTGACTGAGGAGCTCTTCAGCTCTTCATTCTCACATACCTTGTAATATTAATGTATGATTTGCATGATACTAGGGGAATAAAACAATGCGTATTGATCCCATAACATGACACATTATAAAAAGCTAAGCCAGTTATAGGGAGCAGCAATTTTTACTTGGGAGGACTACTTTACCAGCATAATTCTTAATCATATTTTAAATACCATCCATATATCAAAGATATTTCTCTTTGGAACAGACAAATACCATAACATGTCAAAATGCATAAAACTTATTGTGGGGGTATCCAGCCCCAATAGATACATCTACAACACAGCTACTACACCCAAGGTTCAGAAAATATCATGGAAGATGGGGCCAAAAGATTAAGAGCCAGAGGTCCAGGACAGCTTATGTAAAGATGTGTCTTCTAGAAATGTCAGGGACACTCCATTAATGGTGCCTCAACAATATGGCTGTCTAAATAGACCTAAACAAGTACACTACCAGGACATGCTAACATGGAAGGCAGAAATCACACAGGACTTATGGTCTGACAGCGAACTATAAGCAACTAAGAGATGCTGAGACAGAGAGGAATTAGTCTGCCTAAAGAATGAGTCCCCCAGTTGGTATTCAATACCATGTGGCCAGCCTTGAAATCATATACAGGCAATCAACACTTAAAATACAGTAGGTTGTATTTATATATTTATGGATATTTGTGTGTATTAAAGGGAAAGGGCCATGAATTTGAGAGGGAGCAGGGTAGAAGAGTATATGGTAGAGGTGGGGGAAAAAGAGAAGAGAGAACATTATGTTATTACATGACTGATTAGGAGGTGTACACTTACACTCTCACCACAAGGAAGGAAATGAAGGAGGAACAGACATTCAAGGTCATCCTTGATGATGTATGGGATTGGAGGCTAATCTCTACTACATGAGAATGTCTCAAAACACAAAACTAAAAACATAACAACAACAAAGAAGCTGAGTTTTGAATTGTTTATTCTTATTTTGGTATGGGTAGCTTTAAGATGTAAGTTGTATCCTTAGCCATCAGGGAAATGCAAATCAAAACAACACTTAGATACCATCTCATTCCAATCAGAATGGCTAAAATCAAAACCACTAATGGCAGTTTATTCTGGAGAGGATGTAGAAAAAGGTGAACACTCCTCCACTGCTGGTGGGAGTGACAACTTGTACAACCACTTTGGAGATCAGTATGGAGATTCCTCAGGAAAATGGAAATCAGTCTACCTCAAGATCCAGCAATTCCATTCTTAGGCATATATCCAAAGGATGTACCCTCATACAATAAGGACATCTGCTCAACTAAGTTCATAGCAGATTATTTGTAATAACGAGAACCCAGAA